CTCCCTTCGTCTCACCTCTCTACTGAGGTCTTTGAACGCACCGTGGCCCGCCCTCCGGGGAGGGGGGCCGCGCGCGCCGTCACAATGCCGTCTCTTTGAAACGGACATTATGGGGAAAAGTGGAATTGTGGAGAGAAATGACTCTTACTCTGGGATAAATGCAATAGTCTTTACTGAATGCATTTTTCCCACACACACACCTCACTCCAGAACTAGAGTTTACAAACGTAAACCACTGTTCTCCTGCGGGGGTCCCTGAATGCACCGCGGCCACTCTCACGAGGGCCGCGTGCCCACGTATTAACGCTGTATTTCCCATTGCAATGTGAAATGCATTAATCGGAGCTATTATACCAGGCAAGGTGTGTTTTCTGACAACAGCACGCCGGCAATAGCGTCTCTTGAACCCGCACAGTGCTTTGACAGCACTCGGTTTATTCCACTCACGTGCACACGCCCACCTGCTGGCTCCCTATACTGGGGTTTACAGCAGGGGCGGGGAGTGTAGGACAGTGTTTCTTCCGCTGGGGATGGGCAAGAAGCAGCTACGCTGCGACTAATCCTCATCCCGTGAGCAAGGAGATCGATCCAAAGAGCCCTTCCGTAAACACGGGGGCTCCCAGGAGATCAACACGATCCTCTTTGGAAAGTGCCACGCGGCGTGATATCCCAGGGACAATCACACACGGCGGGCAGCGGTGGCGGCCTGTGATGAAGTAGGGTTGACCCTATATCACGTGAAGCCACCGAGCACCGGTCCCTGGGGGAACCGGGCCTGGGGCAAGGCCCGTGGACCAAGCTACTTTATTCGGCCTTGCGGCCCAATAATCCGCTCTGACCTGGTGAGGCGGGGGCATCTCTAGCAATAAGTGAGTAGCCCACACACCCGCCGCCACGATCATCATCCAGGGAGAGTACAGCCCTGGGCGGTGGACTTCCATGGACGCCAGACCCGGAAGGAATGGCGAACGTGAAATGGCACTGCCTCGGCCATATCCTGGTCCCCCAACCACTCAAAGCAAGGTGGTGGGGATCGGCGCCAGCTATTTCAGCCAGGGCAACGAAGGACAAGGCCCGGGTCTCTAGCAGTGGCGACTCGCTGGAGGTATGATAACTCTTTCTTTTTCTTTCAAAGCGTCTCAGTCTCCTCGTGGAATCACTTCCGCTGCTGAAGAAGAAACGGATGATAGTCAGGAGGCGAGGCCTCCCTTTTATACGGTGGTGAATGCACGCGCATCTCAGGTAGGCCCGCCAAGGCCGGCTACGTCTATAGAAGTCTCAGTGGGAGAATGCTTGCATAGAGGGTAGTACCCATAGAGTCCAGTAGAGGGCGGAGCCTGTGAGAGATATAACGGTAGAAGCAGACGACAACAAGTGACGTGCCAAGTCACCAACGGTAGAAGCAGACGACAACAAGTGACGTGCCAAGTCACCACCAGCACCACACTTGCACTACATACACCAAAACAAACACACTACACACAAGGTTGTCCACGAGCGAGTGCCAGCTGAGCGTTTCTATGCCTCTGGTTCCTCGTTTGTGTTATCGGTGTGCGGAGTCTGACTGTCCGTGTCACAAAATCAACCGAGGGAACACACACACACACACACACCCCATGACACACACCCCATGGAGCATCCCCGCCTCGTGATAAGGGCTCGCCTGGAAAGACGACAACGCAACCGTGAGCAATGTGGAAAGTGCGGATACTACTGGAGAGCCTGGACAATCATAGAATGGTTCCTCTGCATATTTGCCATGATAGTTGTGTTAGGACTAGTCCTATATTTCATGTATCCATGGTCAGCACACAGCACATCAGGACAATCCTACTTTACGCCACAGCTACGACAATCTACAACCTTGTACATCCCCTGTTCGTGAGCCAGAATCAGAAGAGTCTGATTTCGACACTACAATATAATCCATGTGAATCGGGTGTACCCTCCTCTTATGCTTACATTATATTGGAGTCTGTCCTCCACAAAAACAGCCAGTTTTCTATGATATATTTGTGATGTGTTTACTTAAACCAGCGATGGAGTGTATTCATTGATGTGTTATATCAGTCTATATCCTGTCATTTGTTATTTTTTTTGATGATTGATCAAGTATGATCAAAAGGGGAGAATGTAGTGGACATTTCTTTATCTTACCTTATATGCTAAAACCAAATGCTTCTCATAGCATTGTCTAACACAACTATATATTTCCTGAGATGTGCTGTTTTCTCTGCATACTCTAATTAGGGTTTTATTCCCAAGCGCTTCAAGGCCACAGTGCTGATTTGGCAGACTATGTTGAGACTACTCCTCTTCACACAAAGTCACACAATAACTTCCCTATTCTGAGAACCGTTATACTATCTACAGCTCAAGGACAGGTGTCTAATAACAATATGAGACCGTGTGAAAGCAGATTTCTGAGGAAACTGTGTCTGCCCACCCTTTCTTGTATATAAGCTTTGCTATTTTGTTACTATTGTACACACTCCTGCAGACTATCCTATAATCTGTGAGACCTGTGTCTTTGAATATATTCAAATAAATAACCAGAAATGGGGCGAAGCCTGCGAGCTAGTTCAGGCAGTCAACTCGAGCACTTATGCTGCATTCATACATAACGCCCCCTTGCCACTCTACAACCAACCAAACAGAGTCTCCTTAATATGCCGCTCTATTTAACCTGCAGATCTCTCTCCATGCATTGCTTGCTGCTGCTATTGCTGCAGCTACCTCTACGTCGCTGCTGCTTGCTGCCCCACCACCACCCCAGCTTCCACCTGTAGGCTCGGGGGTTAGTTATTTGATCATCACTCATCGTGCTATGTATATCTATGGAGTGATGATGCCCGAGCCTAGTCGCCAAACTCAACTATATGCTGCTTCTAATAAACATGTTAAAGGAACACGTGAGTTGTCTGACTGAAAGACAACTCTGTTTGTTGCACCATTTATTGTTTGATCATGCTGACTCGTGTATCTCCACAGTATTGACTGGGTCTAAGATTTCCACAACAGTCCGTCTGCGCCGCAGACGGACTGTTATGGAAAAGCTCAGTGTGCGGAGTTTAAAGCGATCAAGTCATATTACAGGAGAAAGGAAATACAGAAAAGCTGCCGTTGCAGGAAAGACGGCCGGCAAAAATCAACTGACTGTGTGAACGTGAACATTAATAGAATATCACCTCAAATGTTCAGAGCAATCTGACTATTATAACATTAGCGTTAAGAAAGCTTAATTAAATATCTGCCACAACATAACGGATCAAAGTAACATTAAGTAGGCCTACAGTCCGCGGCATATCACATCATAATGTATCATATATCTCCTTATCTGAGTCAGCTGAGCCGTATCTGGCCGTGCAACACTCACAGTGTCACATACTGTATGCAGAAGTATTATTTTAAGCAACACATTAAGTTGACGAAACACTCGAGTCAAATGTAATTAAAGTCAAATCGTGTTTTAGACGGGGCAGTGATATCATAAACCTGTTAATGTACGCATTCAAACACTTTTTCTTTTACCAGCTGTATTCACCTTGCAGGTGCAGCTATGTGGCTTTTATCCTGGATAAAGTGTTTAAGTCATGGATGTTTAAAGTTTAACTTCTTCATATGTCTAATATTATAGTTGACTTTTCATTCAGGAAGTATGACGCTGCCTGTCAGTGCGCTTCTCCATGTTTGTGATTGGTGGAATGCTCCAAATACCACCCCTTTCATGTGAACGCGCACCTAACTAGATAGGACACGGCTGGCTTGAGCGATCCACTTGATAACCAGCGTCGTAGTACAGTTTAGCGAGAGCGCGTATGTTTTGGATTAGTCCAACCAGCTAACTCAAACATATCCAGGTTAGGTTGAACCAGCTTCGTAGTACAGGCCTCTGGAGTGAGAGCAAAAGTCTGATCATTGAGAAAGAAACAAAGAGAACTGCAAACAAAAAGATATGTTAAAACAAAGAAAAAAGACTTATAGTTTACATGATTACACAAATGATTTGTTTGCAACTTATACTTTTATTTTTTAAACTACATTTATTTAGCTTGACTCAGTTTTGTTTCTCTTAAACTCTTACCCCCTGATCCCACCGGGAGCGTCGTGTGTGCAGCCTCGCAGTTGTTGGATGAACGTTCCACTTCCTGCCTGCGCTGCACCGCGCCGCGTCGCATCGTGCCGCATCAAAAATAGGATTCATCCTATATTTTAGAAATTCCTTGCGGCGAGGAGCTTCTGGGACGCTTCGAGCCGCGGCGCAGCAGGTCTGGTGGAATAGCACCCATTGACTAGAGTGGCCGCGATCGCTAAAAACGCCGCAGCGCAGACGCAGCGCAGACGCTCCTGGTGGGATTAGGGGGTTAGTTTTGCTTGATTCTGAGAAAGTGTTGCTTTAACTTTATGAAACAAACCTAATCCCATACTAAACAACATCACAATGTACATTAGCCACCTTTAGATTAGCGGTATTAACCATTGAGTATCAACCATTGTATTCTTATTATTAGTTGGCTTTTTTCTTCTGCGGAATGCATTTACTCTGCACAAATCATTAAAGTGGTGTGCATATGTGGAGATTATTATGCTGAACAAAACTTGTGTTCATCACAGAGCCTATTTCTTGCAATATTCCAATGTCCAATGGAAGAAATCCCAATGCTCATTATCGAGGGAGCCCTTGTGGTTGGACATTGTATTTTGAAATAAAACTCACATTTATACTGTTACATTAGAAAGTAATAGTGCCCAATACAAAATGTTTTAAGTGTAGGAGCACAGAGCTTTACACATTTTGTAAAATTTAAATGATAAAACTTTCGCATGGGTATGTTTCAATAAATCAAACAATGTCCCCACAACATGCCCACAATCAGCTCAGTTATTACTTTGTATTTACCAATAAAATCTTTGACTTAATATGTATTATTTTTCAGCTGTTTTGAGTATGACATGGTTTATGCAACATAGTGATCAAATAAATGACAAACAGCCTCCACTCTGTATTGCTCGGGTAAAAACTTTATTAACAAAACAGAAGAAGGCAAAGCACAGCGTAAGCTCACTTCAACAGCACAGCAGCCTACATTACCCTTCTGTCCACCGCTAAAAGTGCCACTAGAATAATATTAATAACATCCATCATCGTAACGGTTAAATATTCAAATAACACAGCCACTCGGATATAATGCATAATATATAAATGTACTCTATAGACCTTTACATCAACAGCTTCTACAGTAGGAGGACATCAGTCATGCTCTTCTCTTGTGTTGTAGCGCCATCTAGTGAAAGCTACAGCAGTAGTACAATCAGAAAAGGGGGGGCAGCCACTTTGTAACATTTACATTCTGCATCAGCAATCTGTAATACTTACAATCTGCGAACAAGAGTTTTGAATCAGGCTGAAGGATGGAAAGTGTTAGATAACAAGGCAATGAGGTTATATTAGTATTTAAAGGGAAATGCCACCTATTTTAGGAATTGTAATACAATCTTCCTTTGCCCCAGGACAGGTCAGTTATTCTTTACAAACATGCATCACTCTTTCTTGAAGCCAATTATACACCGACTTCAAAATATAACAATCATTTGACTACATCTCTGCGAGTTGATCACAGGTCTGAAAATGTATCTCCATGATTTGGAGCACAAAGAAGAGTGTTGCATTATCACAATAATCTATTACGCTCGCCTGGGGGCAGAAATACATGAATTCTTAAAGGGTAATGTGATACTACATGTTTTAACCCTAATATATCACATTTTGTACACTTTTGAAAGACATGTGCAAACCAAGCTGCTGTTTTATATTTATCTGTGAGTTTCTATTTTCTTGAGTGCATGTAAAAACCTATTTGAAAATATTTTAGGTGAGAAATAAATTAGTCAACATGGATCTGTATTATTTTTGTCAATCGTACATTGTCGCTGGTTGGGGATGTTGGGGACTGATCTGAAATGTTTTAACAGTCTGTACTTTTCATACTTAATGGAAACCAATAGCTTCTTGGAATTTTAGAAACAAGTACCTTAATATTAAACCCGGTTATATATATATATATATATATATATATATATGTAGCCCAAAATATAACAGTGTAGCATTTACGAGAGTTTGTAAAACTGTAAAGTATACATGATTTGTTATTAAAGAGCAAAAAGTCACTTTTCCTTTAAAACAGGTGGATTTCCCATTAAAGGGATGTAAGATAAATACAGTTAGGCACAGTAGTGCTAATGCTAAAGCCCAGGTGAGGGGGGTGGACACAGTTCCTGCATGGCAACAAGTCTCTACATTCTATCACAAACACTAAATAATATTCCATTTATTACAATGATACTCATGATCTCATCCTGGGGTACAGCTGTGGGACACATTCTGTTAGACAGGACAGAGAGGATGCTGGACCAAGCCTGTTGGGGGGGGGGGAGGGGGGGGCATGAAGCCCCGCCTACACCCCCCACTGCAGGATGCTGGTGTCTTTCCCTCCAGTGGAGATCAGGTGACTGTCGTCGTGCAGGAAGGCAATGTTGGTCACGTGACTGCTGTGGCCCCCGTACTCGTGGCTCGGAGCCTGGAGACGAGAGGCAGAGGAGGGACTTAGTGACATGTCTTTCAGGAAAATATATTCACTTTTGTTAACGTTACTCTAATTTCCAAATAATTGAAAACAACTACAGAGAATACAACAGTAACCGTGTTAAACCATGTTTAATTGCAATATTAGCTTGTGCAATATCAAAATTGCAGCAGAGCCGATCTTGCATTCAACGTCAGTCTAAATATTATTGTGAATTAAGTGTTGTGATGCCAGGCCTACAAATCGTATTCTACGGACTTAATAAAATATCGTGTTTGGTAGAGATCCTCTACATTTTTATTTTTTTTATAAATCACCCCATGATATTTTTTTATATATTTCTCAATGATTTAGAGAGTAATAATGCAGAAATGACAAATCCCAGCAATATTGTCACAATTACAATTGCAGTAAAGTTTAAATGAACACGTAATTTTTCCAAATCGTGCTGCTCTAGCAGAAATATTCTTATACCTTTAAAACATATCTCTTAACCCTTCAGATTTATCTTAAGAGGAACTTTGGGGGGTCCCACCCTGAGGCTAAACAACACTGACCGTGAGAATACAAATATTTTACAGTGACAGTTCGCAAACTCAATTTCTGCCTCAGAATCCCTTCTTCCCGGAGCACAGCTGCACCTCACTCAGCTTTACTCTGTGCAAACGAGCTGCACCCCACCAGCGTCTTAAACAATAACAACGTGCTGTAGTCTTTACAGCAGGCTTTCTGAGCTAATGGCTGCCAGCTCGTCTGGTGGGACAATTAACTTTACAGCTCCAGTTAAAATGGCCTTGGGTGTACATTTGAAGTTGTTAAAAAATACCTTAAGAGTCGTAACGCGTTTGTGAGCACGAAATAAACACCTGGTAGAGATTGGTGGTGGTCCCACACTGGGAGCCTGTGGGTGAGGATTGTCTTAATCCTGCTGAGCTTCACTGTTTTACAGCGCTCATTAACACAGGGGAGAAGGCCCAATTCCAAACCGACCCATACCCCCTCCCCTCCGCACTTCCACTATGTTTGTGTATTTGTGTGGAGGGTCCACAGCTGTTCAAACCAACTAGTGGAAAGTGAAAGTTATAACCCCTCCAACAGGAACTTAATAAACCCTCTAGCATGACGTCTGGATTGGTCTAGATGAACCTAATGCCCTACCAGAAAACATGTACTAGTAAACCAGACAAAATAACAATCTATATTTTTTATACAGATATTAAAAGTGTTCGAAGTACAATTTTATTGTTTTAATTAGGATCATATAAACCTGTGTCTGGTCTGGACTTTTTTATTTCATTATAAAGTTCTGCATGTATAAAGGGACTTTTACAAAATCCCAAGGAGCTCATAAGCATTAGATTTAAAAAGGCCAGTAGGACTTTTCTTGTTGTCTGAGAGATGCTGATACAAAACTATGGCTTCCAAAGGTTTCTCATGTCCTGTTTCATGCAGGACAGAGGGGAGTTGGTCTCCTCACCCTCCACCTTAAAAGAATGAGCCTCATTCAGCTGATAGGGACTACAGACGGAGTTCACTCTGTCACAGAGTGGGGGGTATAGGGGTTGGTTTGGAACTGGGCCGAACACTGTGGCTGTATGGCTCTGAGCAGAGCAGAAGACATTTCAAAAACAGCAGGGGTAAACTGTTTTATAGCTTTAGAAGATTATTAATATGTCACTGAAAAAGTGCACACACACACACACACACACACACACACACACACACACACACACACACACACACACACACACACACACACACACACACACACACACACACACACACACACACACACACACACACACACACACACACACACACACACACACACACACACACACACACACACACACACACACACACACACACACACACACACACACACACACACACACACACACACACACACACACACACACACACACACACACACACGTGCTAACAGTGTGTGTGTGTGTGTGTGTGTGTGTGTGTGTGAACATGACTGACCCTTGGTTGGGAGCATGGGAAGGAGAACAAGTGCACTTTGCCAAAGTCGTCGGCAGAAGCCAGCAGGGATCCGTCATGTGACCTGCACACGGCGTTAATGTCAGTGCCGTCTGCTCCATCCGGCCAGATCCCTGAAAGGGGGGGGGGGAGAAAAAGGGTGAGCAATAGGGTGAGAAAGACACACCGTCAAACATTGAGATTCACTACATGTCCCGAGTCAAAGGTCAATCTGGACACACTCCTCCAACAAAACTGACATGTCAAAATTGAAGTGAGGACACACATTGTTTTCCACACCGCTGGGGTTTAACTCCCTGATAACCTGATTTCAAAAGGTGTGTTGGACTGCTTTAGTTCAATTTAGCAGCCATCGTGCATATTTGTTTTGGGTCAGATTTAGTCCCTTTTCTTGTTGCTAGTCTTACATTGTTGTCCTTGTAGATGTTGCAATTTGAGCTGCTGTGATAAAAACAAACAAAAGAAAAAATCAGACTTGATCTGACAATAAAGTATTATCATATCGTATGATTGTATCATATTATCTTATATTGTATTATCGTATCCTCGCCTCATATTATCATATCGTATTATTATTGTATTGTCATGTATAAAGACAGCTGCTTTGGTCACTTTCAACATTCTCTGCATCAATAAGCTTATTGTACGTATGTATATAGTTTACTTCATCTGCATTACTTGCACATTGGTCTTGCAACATAATCTGCACTATTTTATTCTAATCTGTTTAATTTTGTACTATTTTTATTTTATTTTGTATTTGTTTTATGTCCTAAATACCTATGTTGCAATGTTGGGAGGAGCTCTGGACTTAAGGTTTCCATCGCCCTTTCTACACCGTAGCTAGTGTTCATATGACAACAAAGCCTTTGAATCTTGTATCGTATCATATTATTATACGGTAATATGTTATTATTGTATCGTATGATCTTATCGTTTTATCTTCACATATCTTTCTGCTTTTTGCTCAGAGCCATGCAATCCTAAAACGCACGGTGTATAGAACAATGCATTTTCCAATGCACCCAATGACACCACGAGAAGAAAAACATGTTGTTCATCTCAGGTGGGCTCGTAGGCTAGATGATGAAATCCCACCCAGATGCTGAAGAGAGTGTGACCTACCGAAGGTGTTGAAGCTCAGGGTGCAGGTGGAGGACGCCCACTCCTGGTTACGCATCGTGTCCATGCTGGTCACATGTTTACCACTGGATGCCTCCCCTGAGAGACAAAACATACATGTACATTTTGTCTGTATATTTAAGTCCTACATTTACATATTTTATTATAATTTCCTATATTTGCAATGCATTTCAAGAGTAAGCTACTGTACAGGTTCATGTAAAAGGAGGGAGGAGGGGGAACGTACAGAAGAGGGTCTCGTAGTCTCCTGAGTTGGTGACGATGAACTGGCTGTCTGAGGACCAGTCCAGGTGGGTGACGAAGCTGGAGTGACCCTGGGGGGGGGGGGGCAGGAGGAGGTTATATTGCTTTATTAAAGGTCACACAGGGAGTCAAGGGTTTCATTGATGACATCACATCAGTCAGTGGGTTTAGTTTGGTTAGTTTGGTTATCCATCTAATTATGAAGGGAACATCTTTATTCCTGTAGTAAGTTATTAAAGGTCCCATGTCATGCTTTTCTGGTTATTACCCGTCCCCTTGTGTGTTATGTAGCTTTTTCTGCATGTAAACGCTCTGCAGTCACAAACCCTCAAAGTACACCCTGTAGCGAGTATCTGTCTGTGCTGCCCCAGAACGCCTCCTTGGGGATTTCTCATTTTCCATTGTTTACTTCCTGGGTTCTGTGACGTGCCCATACCCAAATAGACCAATCCCTGGAGCCGTCACACACACACACACACACACACACACACACACACACACACACACACACACACACACACACACACACACACACACACACACACACACACACACACACCACACACACACACACACCACACACACACACACACACACACACACACACACACACACACACACCCACACACACACACACACACACACACACACACACACACACACACCACACACACACACCACACACACACACACACACACACACACACACCACACACACACACACATCACACATCACACACACACACACACACACACACACACACACACACACACACACACACACACACACACACACACACACACACACACACACACACACACACACACACACACAATATGTTCTCAGCTGCAGCTCCGCCGATTTCTCCTCCCTGAGACGGCGGGACGCGGCGAGGCTGTGAGTCGGTGTGTGAGCACACACACAAACTCCCAGCCAGGCTGCGGGTGTGTGTTTCGGGCTGGTTTCGCTGTGTCTCGCTGTCTCGCAGACGACCACTGGGCTCACAGGGAGAGGGGGGCAGGAGCTCCAACAAGCCGTTTAGGGCAGAGAGTGAATACACATACTATACAGAGATGCTGTATGAGAAACCAATGTGAGTTTGGAACATTGAACATTGTACATCTATTCTAGTAGACCTCAACAATGGAATTATGATCAGTAGAAATGGCCATGTCATGGGACCTTTAAGTTAGACAACACACAACCAATATTCCATTACGTTACTTAATGTTTCTGCATTTGAACTATTTAAAGTTTAGTTTGGGGACTGAGATATAAACAGAGAGCTGCAGGAATGAGTCCTAAAACCCAGATATGAGCTAGCATTTGACCACTTCCAGTTTCCTCGCCTCAAAGTCTTTTCAAAACAGTTTTTGAACGCTTGTGTGGTTAGAAGTCTGAAATATATACTTTTAAGGTTTTGTTCTCGGACATAAGATACGTCAGTAAAGACCCAACTGGTTTAATTTAAAAACAGTGGTTACTAACAAGTATCCAAATGAGACGACTAAACGCCATCACGCCACACATTAGCCGCCTTTAGCTTAGCGCGGGTGACTTGAAGTAATGTCACCTTAGTAGTTCCTTTATAGCAGTGCTTCTCAAACTTTTTCAGTAATGTACCCCCTTTGAAACATTTTCTCAGCCAAGTACCCCCTGACCGACCCCGAACATTTTTGATCGAAAAAGCCTATACAAATAATTCCAATATAGTGATGTTCCCTCAGTGTGTGATGTATTAACTCCTTCATGCATGAATTACAACAAACTAAGGATATTTTCATTCTATGCATGAAAAAAAAATTAAACTGATTTTTCCAAGGAGTTTTTCAACTGAAGTAATATATGTTTAACAAACCAATGAACAAAATGATATATTATGCAAAACTATAAAATACAATACACACATTTGACATGTTTATATGAGGACCCCCTTGGTGGTTCTAGGAATATTTTATATACAATTGTGTTTTCTATTGAACTTATTGTACTAAGATTATTTTTGTAATCATGCATGATATTTTTTGAATTAACTTTTTTTATTTATTTTTTTAAATCTCACGTACCCCTTCAGTACCCCAACGTACCCCTAGGGGTCCGTGTACCCCCATTTGAGAATCACTGCTTTATAGCATAACATTAGCTTTTCACTTCTGCTGAAAAGTGGAGATTATCCTGCTGTACAAAACATGTAAGTATCATAAACATGCATTTGCCACAGAGCTTATTTTCTGCAATATTCTGAAAACCAATACAAAAATCTCATTGTTTTTTGGTTAAGGGAGCGCTTGTAATGCTAACTCCTGTGAAGATGGTTATTTTAGAAACATATACTCACAGTGCATTTCCCAACACGGCTGTACTTGCGGCCATTCTCTGTCACAGCGTAGATGTAAACAAAGTTGTCATGTGATGCGACAGCCAGGAAGTTACCGTCTGCAGGAGATCAGGAAACAGTTAGTCTAAAGAGTTTATACAGACACACTGAGGACTGAGTGTGAACAGGTGATGCTTTACCTGGAGAGTACTTGATGTTGGAAATGATCTCATTGCCGTCTGTGTGCATAGAAACAAGATCCCGGGTGTCAGTGTCCAGCACCAACCACCTGCAACACACACACACACACACACACACACACACAACACACACACACACACACACACACACACAACACACACACACACACACACACACACACACACACACACACACACACACACACACACACACACACACACACACCACACACACACACACACACACACACCACACACACACACACACACACACACACACCACACACACACACACACACACACACACACACACACACACACCACACACACACACACACACACACACACACACACACACACCACACACACACACACACACACACACACACACACACACACACACACACACACACACACACACACACACACACACACACACACACACACACACACACAATATTAGCTAACTTGTTTCCAGAGTGTAAAGACCTTGAGAGTCAATGTATTGATTCATTCCTCTGTGAGTTAACCATTTCGGATCAAAAGCATTAGGATTAAATACAAATAATGAAAACTATAGATGCAATAAGTACATACATGTAGGTTAGGGTAGTTCTATTTCATATTTTAATATGATTTATTTATTTTTTGATACTAAAATTCAATACATACGTGTGTTTGAATACCACATGTAAATGAAAAATAATTCCCCTTTTTGCTTGGCCTATAATATTTTTCTAATCTAAATATGTATCTAAATAGATATTTTAAAAAAAATAATAGTGAATAATAGTTGTGCTGCTTGCTCTGAATGTTGTGTTTCTGCAGTGTAACTGTGAGGCCGACCTTCCAGTCATGGTTCCCACAGCCAGAACCGCCCCGCTGGGATGGAACCCTGCAGACCTCCCTGGATCCTGGAGCAGAGACAGCATGAATGAGTACATGTAACCCTTACAGTAGTAACAAAGACTTTACATTTCAGTCCTTCACATCCTGATGTTTCAGGACCAGAATACATCTCCACCCCCCAGCAGACAGTCACCTCGATGGTCTTGCTCCAGAGGGGCTGATGGGAGTTGGTGTCCCAGAGGTGAACCTGTTTGTCCTGAGAGCAGGTTACAAACTGCTCCATGGAGGGGTGGACGTCCAGACCCCACAGCTCGTCCGTGTGACCCTGAACACATCACATGTCTCAGTTAATACACCAGACTGCAGCGTGCACAGATATGTCTATAAGCACCTTTAACTGACAACAAAATGATCACGATTCTTACTTTATTTTCACATCTTGTTTTATATTGTTCTTTTATTTGCACATTCCTACTCCTGATGTTTATATTCATATATATATTTTTTTCATCTTATATTTTATGCTTATATGGAACTGTCACAAAATGTAATTTTCTCAGGGGTAAATAAAGTATTTCTCAGTGGCGAGCCGTCAGGGCCCTCTAGGCCCTCTGTGGCCCTCACTAAGATATTCTAAAAAATTATATTGAAAACATTAAAAAAAAAAACATTTTTTTTTAAACATTTTTTTAATATTTTTTTGTTGTTACATTTTTCATTAATTTTACCAAAATAACTTGATTTAATTGTATTTAAAATAATATTTCCAAAGAAATAAATCCTTCGAATCTGCCTGTTCAGTTTCTGTTGGAATGTGAAGGGTTAAATGCCGTTTCTGCGAGTGTGAGCTTGTTGGTCCCTCTGTACATTCACAGAGGGCCAGCTATAGTAACTCAACGAGAGAGTAATGTCAAATGACAGTACAATTGACCAATCATATCTTCCCTCTAAATGGGCGGGCTTTATTTTCGCGTACTTTATGACAGGTTCCGCCCGCTGTGAGGTCTATGCAAGTGGTGCAGTGACGCGTCCTAAAACCCGGAAGTAAGCTGCGCTCGGATTCCCTCGACAGAAAGCAATGAGATTTCTCCATAGGATTTTGGAAAATAGCTCGAAATAAGGTCTGTGGAAAACGAACCTGTTAGATAAATGCACGTTTTGTTCAGCCGGATAATATCCACATGTCTACCCTACTTTTATTATTTTCGAATCATAAATCTAAACGATAGATTTATGATCGATAGATTTATAATTAGCATAAGTTCGTTCATGATGGCTCACTTCACGTGATAGTGATGACATCGTTGCGAAATTATTAACCGAGTCATTTTCAAGATTGAGTTACAATGATAAACTGGAGTGGTAAAGGATCAGCTGCTGCATGATCCGCCATCAAGTGCTTCATCCAAAAGGACAGGAGGATGGACTTTGTGTTTCAGTGATTTGATCATCAAAGGTATGCCTAAGTCATTTTCAATGCGGGCCGCCGTGCCGACTTAATTCATTTGTAATTGTAACTTGGCTGTGGGAGCCCTGTCATGATAGGTGTTTATATAAATGATGTTGTTTTGTGTGGTAGAGGGTCGCTGTCATTGATGCGTTTTGCACCCCGGACCACTGTTTGGATATTCCGCTGAAGTCTACGTTGAGACGTAATATCTCTTCTTTCGAGGGAAGGGGGGGTCAGAGGGCCTAGGTATAAAAGTCACGGCTCGCCACTGGTATTTCTGATACTGAAATGTGCTCTTCTTAAAGCTTACAGTGTGTCTGTGTGTGTGTGTGTGTGTGTGTGTGTGTGTGTGTGTGTGTGTGTGTGTGTGTGTACCTGTACAATAGGAGTCAGTGTATCAGGGAAGGCGGCTCTGATGATAGCGTTCTTTGTGGTTCCTACGAAGAGTTCTCCAGGTTTACCCTCAGCCAGAGCCCGCACAGGACCCAGAGACTCGCCCACCTGAACACACACACACACACACACACACACACACACACACACACACACACACACACACACACACACACACACACACACACACACACACACACACACACACACACACACACACACACACACACACACACACACACACACACACACACACACACACCACACACACACACACACACACACACACACACACACACACACACACACACACACACACACACACACACACACACACACACACACACACACACACACACACACACACACACACACACACACACACACACACTCCCTTACAGACAGCTCATATAGGATCTTAAACCCTGTATACAGCAAGAAAGATACAGAGGGACCTATACAATAGATGCCTCCCAACAAATGTTAAAGACACACTGATTTCCTCCTCAACATGATTATGTCTCAGTCTCTCTTCCCTCACCTCCATGTCGGCCTGCTTCTTGTAGTCGTGGTCCCACAGCACCACTTTGCGGTCCTTCCCCCCCCCGGACAACATGGTGCCGTCCTTCAGGACACAGACAGAGAAGATCCCGCCCTCGTGGGCCCCCGACACCACCTGGCTGATGCGGTAGCCACCTGTCAATCAAAACAAACAGGTCAGTCAAAAACCAGATATTTTACAAGTGAGAAAACATCCCCTGACACAGAGCCAGGGAGCATGAGTAGCACTGCTGCATTAACATTCAGAGGTGGGAAGTAACTAAGTACATTTACTCAAGGACTGAACTTGAGTACAATTTGGAGGTACTTGTGCTATACTTGAGTATTTCCATGTTATGCTACTTTGTACTTCTACTCCACCCATTCAGAGGTACATAATGTACTGTTACTCCACTACTGTGTTTAATATAAGAGCTAAATCCCATATCAAATGCACGCCAAAGGTTCTTTGAGCATGTTTTCTCTCAGTGATAGTGATGTTATGTCAACTGTTTTTTGTTTTTTTTCATGTATCGTGTCTTGATATTTGTCCATGTTGATGTTAAAAATGGAGCTGCTGGGATGTAAGTCATATTTCCGACTTGATCTGACCATTAAAGTATTATCGTATCGTATAATATCGTATCGTAAAGTAAACTCTGGTACTTCTACTTTTAATCAAGTACAAGATCTGAGCACTTCTCCCACCTCTGTTAACATTTCCTCATGACTTCTTTTAGTGTTGGAGAGAGCATCTCTAAATATCTGTAAACAACATCTGTATCATTGTGATGCATTCAGGCTCCACCTTTGGCCCAGACGTAGATGTTCCCACTGGAGTCTCCTGTGATGGCGTCTCCGTTCTCAGCGAACGCCACACACAACACGTACTTTGGCTTCTCATGTTTCTATAGAGCGAGACATAGAGAGAGAGAGGGGGGGGGGTTATTGCACAAATGACAGCATTTGGTTAGCTGCATCTAATGTAAAAAGAAAAGGAAGGAATACATCCTTGACGTCTCTGTGCTGTTTGTGAATATGTAAATAAGGCGATGTGCTTAAATCTGGAGTTAAATGTACCTCTTTCTATGCAAATGAGTTTAATTGCAAAAACAATCTAATTCAGATCAGTGCTAACAGCCACATGGGGAAATCAGATTAGATATACTTTATTTATACTAAACTGGACCCAGAATCCACTTCAAATCCTGCCAAGTAATTTAGCTCTTGCATTTGTCCCTATTATTTTCATGAGAAGTGCCATATAAATACTAAATATTATTATTATAATCATCAGGCTTATTATTTACAGTCAGTCTGGGTTACTGTTTTCAAAAAGGGTTTCTCTCCGTCACGATTCAACTCTTTGCCCGCACCTCATCAGGCAGGACCTGTAGCTTGAGATCTGAGAATGTCATTTTCTTTTTCTCTTCCATATTTAGTTTTCCTCGTTTGTTTTTGGCGCAAAGGAAACCTTAATACTTCTTCACAACTGCAGTTGATAATTGCAGTTAGCAGCAAAAAACGATATACAAGTATTTGTGTAGTTCACCATTAGCATAATACATATTTTTAGAATTTTTCTTTTTTAAGTGTGATGATGTTTAGGAGAGTGGTATGATCAGTTGCCGCACCTCGAACAGGCCCTGTCTCTTGGTCAGAGTGTTGCCCTCCATGGTCCAGAAGTTGATGTGAGATTTTCCACAGGTGACAATCAGGTTGGCATCCATTGGATGAAACACAGTGGCCAGGACAGAGTCATTGGAGCACTGCAGAGACAGGAGGAAACATGTTTCTCTACCTCACAGCAAGCATTTGTAATATTGCAACCCATGCTGATAATAGATACTGTTTGTTAATGATAAACAGGTCAACTATAATAATGCACCTGTATGAAGAGGTTCAATTGTCAAAGGTCACAGGTCAGGGTACCTTAACATCAGCCAGTTGCTTCTCCTTCTGCCAGTTCCACACACTCAGGACGTGGTCGTTGGCGTCGTCCGCAGCGCAGAGGAAGGAGCCGCCGTTCTGAGGGAAAACAAGGAGTTTATAAAAAGCATTTTGTATTCAAATGAATGTACAGTATATGAACTGTGCTTATTATCAAAACTCAGCTCTACAGGATGTGACGCTGCTCACCGACTTGGAGAAAGCCACGCAGCTGACGGCTCTGTCGAACACACCCATCCCGATTACATGCAGCGTGTTGAGGCTCACAGAGTCCCACACACGCACGTGAGGAGCCAGCAGCTGGACACAGGAGAGCAGAGCATTAACATCAACACAAACGTTTGGGAGGACATTGCAATTTCTTTGTTATTAGTTCATAAGTTGACAAAATTAAAAAAAACAAGGACGCAACTACAAATACAAAATTGTAAACATTAATAAATCATTCCATTCAAAAACTGATTAGCCAGTGTCAGACAGACTACACATCTGCTAATGTATAGACAGTGTATATATATATATATTTCTAAAATGTATTAGTATTTTTACTTGTGATATTTTTTGGTTTGTCTCTGTAATCAACTATTTTGGTCTGTTTGCCTTTGAAATACCTACTTTAAAGTCATCTGTGTCCAAATGTATTAAGTGAGTGAAACAGAGTCAGTAGGAGGATGTGAGCGGTGCTTTCACAGTACCTTTCCATCTTTAGAGTTTCCAGCCACTTGCCCCGTTGCTATGGTAACCATGTCAGGATGCACACTCAGGCTATGAAGAGAAAATGCAAATGAGTACATTTCTTTCCCGCCTCTGGCTTTTATGCAGATTCAAACAGCTGATTCGGATCAGACATATCACTGGGAAAATGTAATCACTACATTTTGTCACGACAGGAGATGTTTTTAGGATTTACCATCACTTCATATTTTTTCACGACTGACGCGGTTTTAATTTGGCACCTGCTTTCTATTTAGGACATTAAAACTACAGGAATCAACACTAGAAGGAGTATTTGATAAGATGGCGTGGGAGAGTTGTTTCCCTGCAGAGAGGAGCTGCTTTCCCAGCATGCCCCAGGGGAATTCAGTGTATTTACATCTATGTCGCTCCAGTCCGTATGTCAGCTACCACTCACTAAGTAAATCCCATTCACACCATCCGGCATGGAGCTGTAATGATGTGTTCCATATAAGCTAATATCTTCTAAATATTACTAAATAGCACTAAAAATGGGGGTAAAAGTTCCCGGCACTAAGTAATCTTTTTGGTTTGAACGCAAAATAAGAGGTACTAACGGAACCAAACGGGAAAAGTACTCAGGTGTGAACGCGCCTGTTTTGAAGCTGTGCTCTTCCTCACCACTTGACGTCGTCGTTGTGGCCCAGGTAGTGCCTCTGCTGCTGCTCCTCCGTGTTGTACAGCACCACCACGGAGGCGTTGAAGTACACGATCTCTCCGGTGGGCAGCAGGTAGAGGTTGGAGCGGCAGTCACGACCTCTGTAGCCGTACCTGGTCCACGATTTAGTTAGGGAACAAGAGGGGTGCAGCTGGACCAGCAGAGAAAACACTGATATTCAGTTCTTCAGTATTTCCAAGGAAAGGTAGACCCACAGAGAATGACGCTAATGCTGCTTTTACAATTTCCATAACGAAACCAAGCATATTGGCTTTAGGCAGCGGCGACTGGTCATTAGGGGCAGGTGGGGCACAGCCCCACCTAGTGTCAGCAGAAAGTATTAAAAATAATGATTACAAAAAAATAAAAATAAATATAAAATACATGTTTAATCATCTGATTCGTCTGTACATTGCTGTTTAGTCTGTGTTCTTCTAATTAGGGTCTACAGTGTGTGCCTATTGAGCTGTTTAGAGCCATGTGGGACAAAACCCGATCATGCCCCTCCCTCTCACTGTCTAAGTCAATGGTGACTGTAAAAACTACACTGCGCATGCTCAGAATATTTTCCTATTTAATGTGTGTGGCAAAAAAATAATGACCATAGGGGCATAGAGCTGCCATCCCCACCATACGTCATCTCACATCATTCAGAGCTGATTGGCTGTAAGTACGTGTGCCGCGAAAAGTGTGGTGTGTGAAGAGGAGACGAGAGAGCTGCAGTGACGCGTCCTAAAACCAGGAAGTAAACTGCGCATGGCTTCCTTCGACAAAAAAGCAATGAGATTTCTCCATAGGATTTTAGAAAATAGCTCCAAATAAGATCTGTGGGAAACAAACCTGTTAGATAAATGCACGTTTTGTTCAGCCGGATAATATCCACATGTCTACCCAACTTTTATAATTTTCGATTCATAAATCTATCGATTCGATTTATGATAGACTTTTGAAACTACAAGAACATAAGGAGGACTTTTACAAAAAACTAATAGAAATTTTTGTCCAGAACAAGAACATAAGGAGGACTTAATCTTCAAGTCAAGGTAAGACTGCAATTTTATTGAAAATGGGATCTTACTAAGAGAGAACAATTCAATATGTAAATGATACAATTAAATGTGTTGGGCATCCTTTTGTTGAACTGTCGGTTTCAAATTAATTGAAGCATCAGACAAAAAAAGCTTTTGAAAATAATATTAGATTTAGATTTAGGTCAAAATATAATATTTGTAAACCTGAAGAGTCAGAGCCTCACCAGCCATGAACCTCTCTGCAGAAGCTTATATAGAGACATCTAAGTTTGTTGTGCCCCACCACTTTTGTACATATAAAAACGCCACTGGCTTCAGGAAATCATCCATGTACAGTGGCAAGAGCTGTTTGGAATGTTATGGTTTTATGCATTAATTGGCTATTCAATTTGATAAAACCTTAATATAAGTCACAATTATAAACATGTGTCTAACTGTGTACTGATGGATGTCTTGGAGATACTGTGTAACCCCCCAGCTTTATGCAAATCAATTATTTATCGTACATTTTCTGAAATCTCTTTTCTGCAAGGCATGGTTCACATCAGCAGATGCTTCTTATGAATATTAAACTAAAAATGTTTGAATGTTTTTCATAAGTGAAAATCAAACCACAACTCCACTGATTGAAACAAAGTCTGCTCACTCCTAACTTCATTAGCTTGTGTTGAACTCCAGGGAATCACATCCTTCCAACCTACACTGTGAATGTTTGAATGACTTATTCAATATGGACAACACCTATGCAATTATTTGTTTGCTTGTTATTAAACTGATTGGGTTTGTTCCTTTCTGTAACAAACCATATTTCAGGATCATTTTATACCTAAAAGCCGGTTATTAGGAACAGTTCACTCTCATTTCCTTGCCACTGATTGATGGAGAATCTGAAGGTTGTACAAGCTAAAGTTTATATGTAACCCTGTTTATTAATAAAGTCTAGCATTCATTCAATTATATTCCTCTGTTCATCTATGTTTCAGGTTTTCAAATCTGTCACTGAAGACACAGAACTCCCAGTGTCACATCCTCTGATCACAATAATAATCCATTCATTTCTTATTCATTCATCCAAAGCTTCATCAGTGTCCCTCTGCGGTCTGAAGGATACACCCACTGCAGTTTGAGCTTGCGGTCAGGCAGTGCCCCCTTGTGGTCCAGGCTGTAGCTCTCCCTCTGCTGGTCAGGGAGGTGCATGGTGACGGGGCGGCCTCGGAGGAACATCCTCACATAGCCGTCCTCTGGAGGCCAGGAGAGGGGGGTGGGGTGGGTAGAGAGACGGGAGGTTCAGTGGAGAAGTAAACAGAGAAACAAAAGTGCAGAGAGAAGTCTCATTCTACACACGTATGGAATGAGATAAATAAGACTATAACAAAGTATTTGATCTGTCTTTAAAAAGAGCTTACAGCTGCAGCAGTTATTAAAATGAATTTGAAAGTTAGAATACAGTAAATGTCTGTGGAGTTCTTAACAAGTTACTCGCATTCAATTTGTATCATTATTTTGATGATGCTGCTGCAGAAACTCTCCTCTCTACTCTCTCTTCCTCTCTGGACTCTCTCTGTCCTCTCACATGTCGGCAGTCCCCTCCTGCTCCCTGGCTAAATGACGCACTGCGTGCTAATAGAACCGTCTTTCGGGCAGCAGAGCGTAAACGGTGGAAATCCAAAAACTGTGACGACCTCCTAACCTATCAGGCTCACCTCTCCTCTTTCTCTGCTTCGATCTCTCAGGCAAAAAGCACTTTCTTTCAAGATAAGATCCAATCTTCCTATTCCAATCCCAAAAAACTATTTTCCATCTTCTCCACCCTCTTGGACCCTCCCAAAGCCCCTCCCCCCTCCTCCCTTCTGTCAAGCGACTTTGTTATCCACTTTGAAAAAAAGGTTGATGATATTCACTCTTCTTTTTCTGACTCACCTTTACTCACCGCTGGGTCACCAGACCCTCCTTTCACCAACACACTAACCTCCTTTTCCCCTCTCTCTCCAAGTGAGGTTCTTACCCTCATTACCTCTGCCCGCCCTACCACCTGTCCTCTGGACCCTATCCCTTCAAACCTCCTTCAGACTATCGCTCCTGATATTCTACCGTTTCTCACCCATTTCATCAACACTTCTCTAACTTCTGGTCACTTTCCTAACAGTCTCAAGGAGGCAAGAGTAAACCCTCTCCTAAAGAAACCCACTCTCAACCCGTCTGATGTTATAAACTACAGGCCTGTCTCTCTCCTCCCGTTCCTGTCTAAAACACTTGAACGCGCTGTCTTTAAACAACTCTCCTGTTATCTCAATCAGAACAACCTTCTGGATCCGCACCAGTCTGGTTTCAAGGCAGGTCACTCCACAGAAACTGCCCTCCTTGCTGTCTCTGAGGAACTGCACACTGCTAAAACTGCATCCCTCTCCTCTGTCATCATCCTGTTGGACCTGTCTGCTGCATTCAACACGGTGAATCATCAGATCCTCCTTCGCACTCTCCAAAAACTTGGAGTTTCAGGCTCTGCACTTTCCCTCCTCACCTCATACCTCAAAGACCGTACCTACAGGGTAACTTGGAGAGGGTCCGAGTCCGACCCTTGTCAATTAACTACAGGGGTCCCTCAGGGCTCTGTTCTTGGTCCCCTCCTCTTCTCCTTGTACACAAACTCACTCGGATCAGTCATTAGCCCGCATGGTTTTTCTTACCACTGCTACGCTGACGACACCCAATTAATTCTGTCCTTTCCCCGCTCAGATACCCAGGTCGTCGCACGCATCTCTGCTTGTCTAGCTGACATCTCTCAGTCGATGTTTGCTCATCACCTCAAGCTCAACCTTGACAAGACTGAGCTGCTCTTCCTCCCGGGAAAAGATTGTCCCACTCTTGACCAACAATCAACATCGGCACCTCAGTTGTTTCCCCGACTCAGACTGCAAGGAATCTGGGTGTGACCCTAGATAACAACCTGTCCTTCACTGCAAACATAGCTGCTACAACCCGCTGCTGCAGATACACGCTTTACAACATCAGGAGGATACGTCCCCAGCTGACACAGAAAGCGACGCAGGTTCTGGTCCAGACTCTCGTCATCTCACGCCTAGACTACTGCAACTCCCTCCTGGCTGGTCTACCTGCATGTGCCATCCGACCTCTGCAGCTCATCCAGAATGCAGCGGCTCGTCTGGTCTTCAACCTTCCTAAATTCTCCCACACCACGCCGCTCCTCCGCTCCCTCCACTGGCTTCCGGTAACTGCTAGAATCCACTTCAAGACACTGGTACTTGCTTACCAGGCTGCGAATGGATCTGGCCCTTCCTACATCCGGGACATGGTTAAACCGTACACCCCAGCGCGTGCACTTCGCTCTGCATCAGCAAAACGGCTCGCTGCACCCGCACTGCGAGGGGGACCCAAGTTCCCATCAGCAAAAACACGTGGGTTTGCTATCCTGGCTCCAAAATGGTGGAATTAACTCCCCATTGACATCAGGACAGCAGATAGCTTACACACCTTCCGGCGCAGACTGAAAACTCATCTCTTTCGACTCCACTTCGAGCGTTAGAACTATTAACGAAGCACTTATATACTAATAAAGGACTGGCTTATCTAAAGCCAGTTGAGTAGCACTTGAAATGTTTTTGCTCTATGAAACCTGATGTACTTATATGATTCTGTTTTCTTCAAGGTTGTATTTTGTTGGTCGAACGCACTTATTGTAAGTCGCTTTGGATAAAAGCGTCAGCTAAATGCAATGTAATGTAATGTCATTTTACCTTGCAGGGTTTCTTATATTTGACCTATTTGAATCCAATGTTTAAACTTAATGATGAATGTTTTGGGAACATTTAGTAGTTATTGTAGGGTCTTGTAGCTCTTAAGTGTTCCTGTATAATACATGTTTTTTTTCCAATTCTAGATGTTTTAGTAATATTTATTGCACAAATATTTTTTGTTTAGAGTCTGGGCCTCCATTTGAAAGCCCACACATGAACACAGTGGGTTGAGATTAGAAAAAGAAGAAGAAATGTCACATAACATGGAGGAGAGTGTGTGTGTGTGTGTGTACGAAAGGGGGGGTATTTGTGTGTGTTTTTTCTGACATGGTTCCCCCAAATCAGAACAGTAGACACACATGGGCTTTCACACCAACGCGGTTCCAGGGCCAGTTCGTATGGGGGTTATTCCCTATCTTTATTCAAGAGCGTGGTCTTTACATTTGAGAGCATCATTTATTGATTTCACGTTCAGATTATGTATTTCTTTCCCTCAAACCCTGTCCTCGCACTCAAATAGTTGTGCCAATGTAGAGCCTACTTAGTAATTCTAATGAATGTTCAATATTACTTATGAGAAATATTAAATCCTTTAGAGTACTTCAAGGACTCCTGAACACCAATTAATTTCACACATGAGAGGCTGCTCATCCTCGGCCAATTAAAGTGATGGGACTGTAGGACATAATAGGACATAATAGCACACACACACACACACACACACACACACACACACACACACACACACACACACACACACACACACACACACACACACACACACACACACACACACACACACACACACACACACACACACACACACACACACACACACACACACACACACACACACACACACACACACACACACACACACACACACACACACACACACACACACACACACACACACACACACACACACACACACACACACACACACACACACACACACACACACACACACACACACACACACACACACACACACACACACACACACACACACACACACACACACACACACACACACACACACACACACACACACACACACACACACACACACACACACACACACACACACACAACGTACCTGCATTAAAGGAGCATTCTTTGGTTTTGCTGAAACAGAAAACAGAAAAATCAGTGAAATGTTTCTAATAAAGATTAGAGCATAACAGGCTTCTGGGTTCGGCTTTCATCCATAATGGGAACATAATGGAAGTACCAGTAAGTACATTTAACAATACACACAGAATATATCATCGTTTTTTTCAAAAGCTCCAAACACTTTGTTCCACAACATCAGGATACTATATTATTTATGGTTAGCTGCAACCCCTCACCACATGTCACATTCCCAGACACTAAGGATGTCTGTGAGAGCTTCAGAGCACCGAGTCAGCAGAAACACAGACCATGCATCACAGAATGGAGACCTGGAGGTCAGCTCTTATACCCCTGCACTTATTGTCTGAGAGGATGGACTCTGGAGGCAGGATTAAGTTCCCTCTAGCTTGGAAATAATGTTTCTATTAAGGGCACAGATTAAATAGAATGTTCTACATGCATCACACTAGTAAAAGCAACAGTACCATATTTCTGATTTACTTTTTTAAATCAACATGTATCATTTCAATGTGAAAAGGTATCATTAAAAAGTTTCTAGGGGTTGTTGTCCAAAATCAAAAGGAGGTCGACCATACAGTATTACATTTTGTGTTTTCAGGGGGCAATTGGGCAATTTTCAGACTCTGTACTTTCAACAAACTCCTCCTACAGATTGAATCTGAGTCAGATATGGTCATAACCTTTTTACCTTCTAACTTTGAAGATCAAAAGTTATTAAAGGGGCCCTATTGTAATCATTTTAAGGTTCATGTTTGTATTTTATAAGGGGGGAGTGTGTGGGAGAGAAACTACAGTATATTTATAGGGAACACAGGGATGTTAGCCTTTGCAGACCATTTACATGCACTAAAACCTTTAGAACACACCAAGGGAAAACCCCAAAAAGTATAATAGGGCCTCTTTAAATGATTTCTGTTACTTGGAACGCTCCTGCCGCGGCGTGATAAAACAGGGAGTGGTTGCAACTTGAACGTTTGGTTCCCAAACTGCTCCAAATGTATTGTGCTTGATAAAAATCCCAACCTTGATTTGTACAGATCAACATTATGTCATAGTGCAGCACATCACAGTCCAGGCGAGACATAATGTCCACTAGTGAGTCCAGGCTCAAACAGTTAGTAAATTGGCACGAGGTTAGTACTCCCCAGGCTCGTTGATGTGCCAGGACCTGCTTATAGATTTCATTTAGTCTCAACAGTTGGGCACAGTCTTTGTTATTGGAAGAGATACAGAGCTGAAAACACAGCTCTGTATTCCTTTCATGAAAAGAGGAAATGGAAAACTAATGTGACTGTGAAGACAGTTTGATAAAGAGAGTGTTTGATCGAGTCAGCAGACACAAAGCAAACAGAGAAGCCTTATTATTCATGTACCACACATGGATGGTGACAGTGTTATCAGCTAAACACACAGTGAATGCTGCGCTCTGCCAAACTGTGAGACAGAGGAAGATCAAAGAGGACAGAGAGAGTCCTGCTGTCCCCAAAGGTCATATAAAAAGGCTGAATGTACTTGTATAAAAACATTACAAAAGTGAGTCAGCCACATTGCCAAAATCCATATTTACAGCTGTCAATCAAAACCTGTAGCTGCATCCTCAGCTGTTCCTGAATCAGCCGTCTGTCAGGACTAATTAGGACTGCCCGCTGAGCATTTCAGGATGCTGTCAACCAATCAGATCAGTTGTTGAAGCGCTGCCTCAGCTGCCAGGTGGATATCTCCATGGCAACAGCAGTAAAAGTAAGGCTTGATAAGATAAGGGAAATTGAAGGCTTGTCTCTTGCTGCTCAGCAACAGGAGAGTCCGGGGCGATGGGTTTGACTATCCTGAGTGTGTGGTGGAAATGCAAAGAAAAGAAGTGACGAAGCTGACTTAAAATGGTATAATAAGTCAACTTAGCAAATGTTTATCAAACTCAAACAATGCAATTTGGGGAGCAACACGGAATGTAAACATAACCTTTGCTTGTTAAAAAAACACTGAACATGACACCTTAAAACAACACAATGAACTGTGTTTGTTGCATTTGTTCCTGAGAAAAGCCTCAGAGCACTGTCTCTGAGCCTGTCAGGTCATATGTGAAATGTTTTCCTAGAATTGTTGCTCTTTTACCGTAAAGTAGGTCTGCAACAATGTGTTTCCATAAAAAGGCACACAAGAGAAGAGAATAATTACTAGTCAGAGAAGATGAGGGCTTGCACTGTAAGTGTGTGTTTGAACACAAAGCATGTGGAGATCAGAAGACAGTCTCTGGGCAGCTGGAGGTGACCAGCCTGGGTGTCGGCTCTTTAAAGTCCCCATATAAAGGTCGTCTCTGTGTTTCTGTGTATGTGTGTGGTCTGCTAGGAAGATGAGGCATGGCACAGTTCTAGCCTGTAGGAGTCTGTAATGAATGCAGGGCATGCTGGGTAACTGGCAGCCGGACAGGGCAAATAACTGTGGATCTTAAACCCTTACGGCTGTAGTCCCAGAGACAAGATTTCCAGGGAGAGGGAATGCACAAACAGACCTCTCATTACCACGCAGCGCTCAGTGTGTTGTCGGCATGTTCCGCCTGGCTGCACACAAACAACTGGTTTGTGTTCGAACCAATGAGCAGTTATGGAGTGCTGTAGTGATGAAAGCTATTTGTGTAGGCCAAGAACGAAGTTAGCATCCCAAGGGCTCCGTCAACAAAAAGCACTGGGATTTTTTAATTTATATTTTGGAATATTGTAGAAAATAAGATCTGTATCAAAACACACGTTTTTGATGATTCCACATTTGTTCAGCATTATAATCTCAATATATTAACATGACTTTTATGGTTTTGAAACATACATTTTTTTGCCAGGAGTAAAAAGCTAACAGTAGGCTATAAACCAACTACATTACGGTTACATGACTTCACAACACCAGTGCTAAGCTAAAGGTGGCTAATGTTCGTCTTGATGATAAGGGAACCCAAAATGCTAACTCATTTCTAGGTCTCATTCCTATACAACTCTACAGGTATAGAAGCAGACCAGCAACTTGTAAATAATGATTTATGTATCTACAATTTGATCCCAGTTTGAGATGTTGAATTGGTGGTTTATTATAGTATACATGTAGAACTGCTTCTTTCCGTATCTACTTACTGAACAGTCCTGAGATTGCAAGATGTGATGGCATCTGGAAAGCTAAAATGTTTGGATTTTTTTTTGGCTTTAACGCTCAGTACCGATTTATTTCTCAGATGCGATTTGTTCAGCTTCCTACAATAGTTTTTTTCAGAATCAGATTTTAGTGGACCCTCACGTCCCTTAAAGGTGGGGTAGGTAGGTTTGATAAACCGGCTCGAGATACACTTTTTGTTATATTCCATGGAATGCTCTTAACATCCCGATAGCAATGAATATCTTAAGTGCTTTGACAATAAATACATACAAAAATGTCATCTGTGGAAGCCGTGGTACTGTAAAAAGCACGACCAATCATCTGAGCCGGCTGAGCTAAAGTAACTGGATGGCCTACCTGCCTGTCAGCCTTCCATCTGTGCACAAACTTATCTCGTGCCCTCATTGGTCATGTGCGTGTTCGCGTGTGTTGGAGGAGGGGCTCTGTAAGGAAGTGGCAGATTTGTTCCGGCTGTGTATTTTCAAATTCTAGCGCACTCGAGCTGGTTTCTCCAACATTACCTACCCCACCTTTAACTTAGCTTCAAGATCAACAACAAACATTTGCTGTTGTAAAATAAATAAACATGTAGGCCATTAAAGTTAGAATATCATTTCATGTTCATGCGCAGGGTGCAAGAGGATGCTTTCGTGACCAGATGATAACGTGGATTAGGAAAACAAAATTGAGGGGCCGTGTAGACCAAAATTCTAACTAACCTTGCACACACACTAGGGATCGACCGATATGGCTTTTTCAAGGCCGATACCGATTATTAGTCATCAAGGAGACCGATAACCGATATTTGGAACCGATATACATTTGCAGTAAAATCAGAAAATCTTGGTGTCAAAATGTAGAATAACACAAACTCCAACACAACTCAACACAACACAACTTGTTTGAAATGCATTTAAGCATATTATGCAGGGTTGCCAACTCTCACGCATCTGGCGTGTGACACACGCTTTCACTCTCAATCTCACGCACTCACGCTGCCCAAACTATTCTCACGCCAAAAACAAGAATACCGAAGACTAGAAACGGTTTTGAAAACTTTTGTCAGGTAGTGATTGTCTTCTCAATAGAACATCTTTGATAATGTCTTCTGGCCAATCAGAATCAAGATAACGGCGTGGTGTTGTTCCAGGAAGTCCCGACGGAGAATACTTTTGCATTTGCTGTAGTACATCTCTATATACATCGATACAACATTACGTGTTGATAGAAATCAACACGTAATGAAATAAGACCCCACGGTTTGATAATTGATAGGTGCAGGGACATGCACAGGTACGGGCTAATGTTGCCAGGGCAACGGCCCGTTTGGCCTTTTTGGCTGACCTGCCCCTCTGGAGAGAGCGAGAATTAATTTTTTTACTTTTTCTGTTGTGGCCGAATCAAGATGATAAGCCCACAAATAGTAGCGTCTCGCTGCGGGAAACACACTTTGTCAGCGCTGTCATCTGCCGGTGCGTTAAGACCACCTCAGTGTCGGATTTTGGAAACTTGATTTTGAGTTGTCTCATCATGGCAGTTAGGGTATAAGGGACAAAACAGGGGACTTTACTTCCTCTTGATACCGTTGGTTATTTACAAATAAACACCTAAATATAGCCTACTTGTTGTGATTGTGTGTCTTTTCATCTGTAAACTCCGTCAACGGGGCCGCTCGCTCTCTTTTCTTGATCGCCCTCTCATGGGTGAATACTTCACTGTCCCGCTTCATTGTAGAATTTCTGCCATGTCTCTACCACTTTAGTTTGACCATCTATGTTATTAAGTTACGGAATACTAAATAGCCTAAATAAGTAATTAGATAACTTACCGTTACTGGCTGCGCTCATAATGAT